CTACACGAGAGAATATGTTCTACATGTCATTCCCTACAACTTTTGAGTGAGCATCCCAGGCTCAAAACGCGCTCAGAGCGCAAAAGAATGTGAGCGCCGTGCCCACTGGGAAGGGGGAGAGGATTAAGCGCCTCTCAGCCACCGACCAGAGCGGTAGTGGTCGCTGTGCCTTCATGTCCTACACTGGAGTGAGCCATGCTCATCTCGGCCAAGCGAAACAATTCACAATGCATATAATACTTCTTACACATCTGTACTACGGTTTATCCTGCCTATGAGGGGAACAAACCCTTGGAAGTCCCATTATACCACCAAGATCCTCGAGAGCGCCTCATCGGAGTCGAACATCAAGGTCGGGTAGATGAGAGCGGAAGACTATCTCTGAGCGCTATCGTTATATAAGCAGAACATCGGCTAGCGGGCGCTGCCTATCCCCATGATGATGTCTCACGAGCCGCTCGTCGTCGTCGGGTTCTCCCCGTACTTTGCGCTCTCCACATCTCTGAGCACCCCGCATCTCTGCTTTGCCCGTTTCCGTTGTACAAAGATGGCTGCATCACTAGCGCGGCTTACCTCGCTGTCCACTCAGACGCTGTCCCTCCTGCTAGAGCGCCAGCGGCTTCAGAATATACCCTCAAACTCGACATCCCTACACACGCCTCAGATCGTCAAGAACCTCCAACAATTGCGGGCCGGAATCCTGGAGCTTGAGGAGAAGGAGGGCGTGTCAGAAGCAACGAAACTTCTGCGGACACAACATGAGCGCATGCGAGGGATGCTTGGCGGGGACGCGGACGTGCAGAGGTGTGTGCCCTCGTGCTCCACACGTGCCAGAGGTGTTCTCAGAGGCGGGCGATCCTGCCGACCGCAGATGCGAAGAGCCACAGGCCGAAACCATGAGCTCGAACGCGTCCTCGTCCTCAATACCTACGCCTGCGGCCCCCCCTCCTGCACCACCCACCTCCACCGAAGGGCACCGTTATGCGCCATATACGGACGATCCGGAGGCCGGTTATACCGACGAGGATATGCTGCTCCAGCAGCGGCTGATCATGGACGACCAGGATGTACACCTGGACGAGCTCTCGCGCTCTATCACACGACAACGGGACCTCTCGCTGCAGATCAACGACGAGCTGGATGTTCACACGGGCCTGCTGGAAGGGTTGGACCATGATCTGGACAGGACGGACAGTAGGCTGACCGGTGCGAGACGGAGGCTCGACCGAGTCGCCAAAGGAGCTAAGGAGAACGGTGCGTGGTTTGTGGGTTTCGCGCCATTACGCGGCGGGCTGCTGACACATCACCTTGTCTTTGCTAGGCTCTACCGTCATGATCGCGCTGCTTATTCTTGTGCTCCTCATACTCATCATTGTTTTCAAGACATGACATTACGAACACCCGCGTATACCTGATGCCATCTTTGCTTTCATATTCCTCGCCTTTTCCTCCGTTCGGACATGTACAGCATTTGTCAATCTAATCCTGCCTCACATTGCTTCGTGCCTTCTCCTCGCGGTAGGATCCCTCCACAACAATTGCGAACAGGCAGGACTATGACACACTCCCGCAAACGGCGCAATCGCGAATACTGTGGACGCACGTTGCGTACCCCGGTCGGCATCTGTGTGGCCGGCGTCCGACAGACGCGCCTAAGAAGCGTTTGGTAGGACCGATGACGTCTTCGTATCACGTACTCTCCAGATCAGGGCTCAAAATGCGACCATTTCAATCTCGCTCGTACAACCGCCGGCTTCCGATAATTCAACTCAATCGCAATTTGCATCTCCGTCCCGACCCTGCAGCACAGCACGTAGTTCTGCCACGCAGCGTCCCGATTCGCACTCGCAATTGCATGCGCCTCCTAGCTATTGACTGCAGTACTGCCAATCTTACACCTTCTCTTTAGTCATTAGTGTCCTCGGCATCGATTCCTCTACTCTTCTCCGACCGGTTCAAGCACGATACCCTACCCGGTTAGACGCGAGCCAGAACTCGGTTCCGCCCTCCTCACACCACCCGAGGGGTCCGAGGTCACACTCGGCACAAGCGAGCAGCTTCATCCGACCTCCGCTCGGGGCTACCGCAGTACGACAAGGCGCATACGAAACGCATTCGCACAAGAGATATCCCATCGTCAGTCCTCAACAACCACGACCACCTCACACGGCACTCACCCGTCTGCTGCACGGGCCTCGAGAACCCGATGTTCTCGAACGCCATCGCGCTCCCCCGCACGAGCCACCACTGTGCCGTCGCCGGCGGGTCCGGGAGCCTCCCCAACACCTCCGGGAGCGCGTGCCGCCCCGCGGGGGGGTCCAGCTGGACGCTCGCGCGCTCGACCCAGCTCGCTGCGCCAGCCTTGAGGATGACGCTGCCGCAGCCGAGGCGAGGGCAGAGCAGGTCATGCTTGTTTGACGGAGGGCCCTGCGCGTCCGCGTCCGAGACGACGTCCTGCGCTGCGTTCGGGAAGGAGGTGAGCGGGCGCGCGACGGGCCGTGCGCGGGAGGATTGGCGTTGGAGGGCTTCCCAGAGGCCTGGGGGGACGGTCTGCGTCTGTGCTTGGGCGGGTTCCTGTGAGGCGGACGCGGAGGGACGTGTGCCGGACGAGACGTCTGCGTGAATGTTGAAAATGAGCTTGCGTGTGCGCGGCAGGAGCGATTGATGAACCTTCACTAGTTCTGGCTATGGAGAGATTGAGTGGTTGACTCGTAGCTGCCAGGTCAGGACTGGCGTTCTGCGGCTGAAACTCTTTGCGCATCTCGAACCACGGCCGGGGTCCGTGTACGACGGCGCTCCGACCGACCCACTCGAAGCCCGCTTGTTCGTAGAAGCTGCGCAGCTCTTGGTGTGCAATGAGCAAGATGCGCGCGTAGGGCTTTGAGTCATCGCAGGAGGTGGAGGAAAGCCGGGAGACGTATTCTTTGAGGAGGCCCAGGCCGACCTTCTGCCTGCGGTATTCCGGGGCGACGCAAACGGAGTGAATGCAGACCGAGGAGGAGCCTGGGACGTGTTTGGACATGGAGGCGTGTGTCAGGGTCGTGTCCGGGGACAGGGTCGAACAGATATAGCCTATGAGCCTCCGTCCGGAGCCTGTGGGGACGTAGGCACCTAGGAAGAGGTCTGGTGCCTGGGACTGTCGGTATCTTCGATATTTAGCAAGTCAGCTCTGGGTAGTTACACTGTATACACGCAGTGATCACCGGAAGGTCTCGAGGCTTCCTGCCTCGTCCTCTGGATAACCTGCGAAACTTCGTTTCTGTGATCAATAAGTCCGCGGTATGGCATGTTCGTACCTTGAAGTTCTATCTTGTGGGCATCTCCAATCTCACTCGCGCTGACAAGATCATAGAAGATCGACATGGTCTGTAGTCTGAATGATCTGACCTACGCTGTGATCAGCACCCAAAGGTGGGAGTAAGGAGAGAGAGATCCGATCTCCAATTCATTGGAGCCTGCTTTTGGCCGTCAATTGAGCAGCGCCACGGCGGAGACGCCCGACTTCCCCGACTCGCAACTTCAGCAGTTCTTGGACACTCGCATCGAGAGACATGTAGTGAAGCCAGCCCGAAGTTGTTGCGAGGCAATGACAAAGTATGTACGTGTCGCGGAAATGAATTCCAGACCATCCGCCTCTGGTAGCCAAAGCATCCGAAGGCAACGGTGTCTATTCCGACTAGTCGCAATCTACGACACTCAAGTCACTACCAAGGATTCACCTGCATCATCCAGCCACACACTGGATAAGGTGTTTGAGTATACACGTGATACGAATCTATCATTACGTTCCCTGATATCTTGTCTCAGGACTCTCTAGCACTCTACATTTACACAGAGAGATCGCCATGGAAGCACCCTTTCGCAGCAGTAGAGGTCAAACCGCACAGTCTTCACCGCCAGATCGAACCCCCACAGACGCTGTCTAAAATCATGCACGCAGAGCGGAGACCAGCAGGGGCAATGCAGGTTCAGGTCCCTCCGACGCGACGCTGGGGTACTGCACTGCGGCAAGGTTCCACTTGATTGGCTTGCCAGTAGGCTCGAACTTGAAGTTCTGCAACAAGACGAGCAGCACGGTCTCTGCGGGGGTGAACGATCCAGTCAGCACCCCCATCCTGATGGTCGTCCAGGATTCAGGAGCTGAAGCCCAGCGCGTTACGTACTCATTTCGATCTGTGCAAATTTGAATCCGCTACAAGGAAGAGGGATAGAACACATAAGCACTGGTCCTGTTCTGGCCCGAGTACAAAGCGAAGGGCTTACATGCACGCCCTGCTACCGCCGATAAACGTCATGCTATGAGAGTCACGTGATGGATATTAGCACATGCAGTGAAACCGGCGGAGGGTCGAGAGGCTGCATCGACGCACAGGTGAGAGTACACGCCCGGGACTCGCGCCTCCTCCACGGCCCGCGGTAGGGGTTCGAGCCAGCGTTCAGGTCGCCATTCGTGCGCGTCGGGTCCCCAGAGCGCTGGGTCGACGTTCGAAGCACCGATGTTCGGGAGTATTCGCGTTCCCTTTGGGACGGTGATTATGTCAGTGAGCGTCCCGTCCTTGAGACGAATCGGCTCCGACAGAGGCATTATGACATCCTTGGTTGTCCTGTGACACAAGGTACGGTCAGTCTGTTCGTGAGTTGGCGCGTCACTGAACGGAAAATCCTTACTCGCGGAAGAGCATGGTAACGCCAGGATATCTGGTGAGATCCATGCGTCGAAGATAAGGGTGCATTTTGAAGAACAATGACACCAGCACTCACACCCGGAGGGTTTCGCGACAGACTGCCTCAAGATAGGGAAGCTCCATGATCTTCTCATAGTCGAGCGTCCCGTCTTGTCCCTCTGTCTCGATCGCATGCAGGATTTCCTTGCGGAGCTTCTCTTGAACTTCCTGGCGTTCGGCGAGGATCTGAAGAGCGCGCGCTAGCGAGTTTGCGGTCGTGTCCATGCCGGCAAGCACCATCGTTCTAAGCAAATGATGCTCAGTGAATGCGGCGTGATCGGGGCCCGCTGCCAAGACCTAGGCCATACACCCGTGACAGCAGTGAATGGACTCACGAAATCTGTCCTATGAGCTCATCATCTGGGAGCTTGTCTTCGGCCTTCGCAAGCATGTTCTCTCTAACTACAGGGCGCTCGATTGAATCACAATGCGGGATGAACTCGGGCATTTGAACTCACGCAGGATACTCATGATGTCCCGACCTTCGCCGATCTGGTGCTGAAGCGTATCATCTCCCTTCTCCAAAGCCTCCTTCTTTTCCTTGAAAATCCGCACAGACCGCTCGTGCATGATGTCTGATATCCGCCTCAGCTGCTGAATGTTCTTGTTCGGCATCCTCTCAACGACCCAGCGCCGGAAGGACACGGGGCCGACGTTGGCCACGCGTCGCATCACCATGCGTGGAATGACAGATCGGGCCATCTGTGGGCTACTCTCCAGTCAACATCGGACTGCAGACCTGACACAAATGACAAAACTCACAAGAAGTCCTTGACGGCGTCCGCAAACTCGTCCGGTCGGTCCTGCGTGAGAGGGTCAAATGAGTGGCCCAAACCAGCCTGGCCCAACACTTCGAGCGTTGTGCGGCCGCTCCAAGAGAGCATATCGAGTTCCACCCCGCGCTTAGCTCCGGCGCCGGCACGCACACGCTCCATAATCGCATCACGAGTCTGGAGGCGCCGCGTGAAACAGGTGTCAGTCTGAGCATTCTTCCAAGGTCGTAACTAGTCTCTAGCAGTCGAAGATGTACCTTGTGAATGACCTGATACAACAAGGGTGTCATTTCACGAAGATGCTTCACAGAGAACACAGGGTTGAGCATCTTGCGCTGTCGCTTATGCTGCTCGCCTGCACAAGATCAGGACGATCGGTCAGTAGGGGACCCAAGTGAGAACACATCGCGCGTGGTGATCCCCCACCATCCGTGCTGAGAAGACCAGGGCCGAGCATGACACGCATAGCACTTTGATTTCATCAGAGTCAGCGATCATAGGTGACTGGCCTACGCATGCATTTTTGACATCAGAGGACCGTCGGACGTACAGAACGGGTTCTGCATAGATGTCTTGCTCTGTAAGGAAAATGTTTTGCATGGCCTTGACATCCCAGACCGTGATCCACTTCGATTGCTAGCATTTGAGACTTAGAACGCCTCATATAGGTACCCATCATTATTTGTTCGACGTACACCAGGGGTTCCATGGAGAGCGGCCACGCGCGGATACTTGCGGGCGAGTTCAGCCCGGAAGTCCCAGCAATCCAAAGCGAGAAACTGCCCTAGGTTACCTGTTTGAGAGTGAGAAGCGCACAGACTGAGTTCTTGCACATCGTGGGACGTACCACTAAACCATGATTCTCGGGGAGGACCGGGAATGTTACCTAGTGGGGACTTGATGACGAATGGCTTGAGAATGAGCCATGAAACATAGAGAACCACAACGGCGAGTGCCGCTTGAGGCGCGCTTGTAAGGAGCGCCATGATGCGGGATTAGCGTCGGGGGTTGGCACAAGTGGTGGACGGAAAGAGAGATGAGAAAGGGGAGACGAAGGCGGAGTGATCCATAAGAAGCGTTGGAAGTCGACAGGAAATGGTTTCACTGCGTGAAGCGCCATATTACGGTGGCGGGGAACATGCTGGGAATTTGCGTAATCCGCGCATATCACCCACGGATTCCCCAGTAAATCCCCCTTTGATGGGAATCTGGTGGGAACATGCACATTCTCTCCAGATTCCCTCAACATCCCCAACCGCTTGTGCAGATTTCTATTATAAGGGGGACTTGCCTGCCCAAATTTACTTATCCGTCCGCGATGACGTCGTCGTATGGTCCCATATCAACCTGCCATCGCGTCCACATCTTGACTTCGTAATTCTTGCATTCCCTCCGAATGCCTATCTTCCCCTTGGTACGTTTTGACCATTGACTCTCAGATGGCAGCTGATGTGTTAACATGCAGGTGTTCTCTCATAAATACATCTGCTGATCAGGGCAATAGTACGTCTCTAGTGTTGCGTGTGAAGTCCCAAAGTCTGATGGCTGCCGCATCTAGTAGGTTGTCCCGCGTTTATCGATTGTCCTTGATTAAGACTGTGAGTACCCAGTTTCAACGCTACAGTGTACTGCTAATCCTTTCTAAGCAGAACTCAAATATCGACATGGTGAGTGCATATATGCATGTATTGCGCGTGCCATCTCAGCTGTGTCTGATGTCCAATTGTAAGCCAGTATCGCTGTGCTGGCGGCTACGGGTATGATGTGATTGGGTTAGGGTTGATTGGGCCGGTCTGTATGATATATAGAGAAGTCCGGATGTAGCGTAGGAGAGTCGCCATTTGAATATATATTCATTTCGATCTAATTCAATCTGGCTGCC